AATATGATCTATCATTCAAAATTAATATCATAAAATGTTGTTGAAGAATAATTAAGCAAAATCAACATTTGATGCTGATAAAAATGCTCATCACAGAAGTACAGTAGCTGATGTATTATTACCAGCATATATTGTTGTTGTGATTGTCATGCGGAAATGAACATTCATCATCTATTTTTAGCACCACCAAAGAGCACATGTTTGTATATTCTATGCTTTATGTAAATATAGGACACTACACTACCAGGGACATAAATCTGATCCCTACTCTATTGGACTGTGAATGATTTGAAAATAGCAGCATTGTCAAAGTTCACCTACATTTTATGCACCTCATGCATTAAAGCATGTGCTGAATTTCTTGATTAGGATACAGTAATTCTTAAATTTATTACAAGTAAATATGCATAAAATACTCATGTTCTTCATCTACATGTATGTATAAAGTTCATTTATCATTTTGATGTTATATCCTTATAATTATTTGTATGTACATGTGTATACATGTATGTAAATTTTTAACATTTGTATGTTATTGTATTTCTTGCTCAATTCAGCCACTGGCTAAGACAAAAAGATAATAAACCATTCAATTCAATTCAAAGGCAAGGATTAAGATACATGTACGTGTACCTTGGGTAATAAAATGTAAATTGCTGAATCAAAAAGCGATCAGAAACCCATCATTTTCCCTTCACTTTTGAGGCCCAAATCGATGAGAGTAAATTGTCTAATTCCAGGATTGCCTTTTTGCTCAGCACACAGAATCCACAGTAATAAATCATGAGCAGTAGGGCTGATCAAAAATGAATTAGTTTCGTCAGCCTCTCCTCAATCATAATTTCTTCTAGCCAGAGCCATCGGGCGAGAGAACAAGCGGAGAATGGGACGAGAAAAGCAAGAGAATGAGGAGACAATGAGCCGAAAGCGAGAGTGGGTTTTCCTGTTTTTTGCGTATGAGCGACAGAGCGTAATCAAACTGGGCTTGATGAATAGGGGTGTCGTCATATGAGCGCTCTCTCGTAAATTAGGTACATTCGAGAGAAGAGGGGAGAATGGAAGCGCTAGGAGATTATATCATCCATACATACATGGGGGTGATTATCAAATGTAGTCATGTTAATGTCCATAATTAGATGGCCTTTTACTAATACAGTACAAAAAAAGGGCATTAATCGTTGTGTCTGAAAGTGAAATATCAAATGTGATTTAGCCTTTAACAGAGTACTTACGATTGCAAGGAGAATAGAATTGAATGGATAACACTTTTCAAATCAGTGCGAGCACGCTCAACGTAGTCATAGTCCTCTGATTCAACTATAAAGACGATTGTATGATACCTGCTACAACTTAAATTGCTATGTGGTCAAACTGACTGTCTATTTCTTACATTGTACCCAATATTATACATAACCGAAGGCTCCTCTTTAAATTTTAAAATTTGGGGGGGGGGGGGGGGGGGGTCTGGAGACTGGAGCCAATATTTGGGGGTTTATGAGTACAAAACGGTCTGGACCCGTTAGCATCCAGTACTGCCTACCTAAAACAAAATCAAATATCAACTCCTAATCCCTTCTACTTCACAAAATAATGTTAATAGGGCATTTTGGTACAATCGAGGAGATCTACACTTGCGGCTCATGCGTTGATTGTGCAACAAAATCACGGATATTTCTTCCTTTTCGTCAATCTACATCTACATGTGATTTATTGATTGTGTCTACATATACCATGAGGACCTCCCAGGACATATAAGTGAGTTTCCTGACATTTTGTAGGGCAAAATATGTCTTGAAAGTATTGAGCCAGTTTCTCATATCTAAACATATAACTTCAAACGGCATCGCAGTTCACAACACCGGGCCAGAGTCGGCCGAAATATATCTCAGTGACACTATCGCGACGTGATCACTAGTCCACGCAAAGCTTTCGAACTATTTTTTGAACAACAATACAGTTTACCCCCCTCCTTTGTATCGCCGTACCCCTCCACACAATGGAGGGTCTAAACAGTGGATCTAATGAAAGGAAATCAGCCCGAGTTATGGCAGGGAGAGCAACGCGAAACTCACAGTCAAGCGAAATCACGCAAATTCCGATCCCTGAACTTCTCAACAATAAAGACTTCTTTGACATGATCAAAAAAACGATTAAGAAAACAATACGAGAGGAAATGCAAGAACTAAAACAAGAATTCGCCAAACTCTCGAAGCAAGTAGAGTCAAACGAGTCAAATATTGTCTCACTTCAGATCGAGACTGAACGTAAAAGCCAACAAATAAACGATCTGGAAAAACGACTCAAAACACAGGAAGACTCAACAAACAGACTACAAAACAAGTGCAACGACGCCGAGCAGTACTCGAGGAGAAATTGTATACGAGTTTTTGGAGTCCCCGAAAGCACAGGAGAACAGACCGACAACGTCATCATGAACATTGCCAAGGAGAAGCTAGGAGTGGAGCTACAACTAAAGGACCTCGACCGAAGCCACCGGATCGGGGCGATCTGGAGACCAGACACTCAGGGCAAAGGAGCCTCAGTTCACCAGCAGAGACTACCAGCGACACCGACCTCGACTCCGGGTGGACCGGAGAACACAGCCGCATCGACACCGACATCGTGGGCCGCTGTGGCGGATAGGGCGACGCGGAGGTCGGAACAGGTTCACCACCGACCGATCATCGTCAAATTTGCTACCTACCGCGCGAAGCAGACACTGATGGCGGTTAGACGGCGGCTCAAAAACTCCGGGATTACTATAGCGGAGGACCTGACCTCCCATAACTACGAAATACTCAAGGTGGCAAGATCGTCACCAAGAGTATCCGCAGCTTGGTCGTCAGATGGCCGCATCCTGGTAGCACTCCCTGCGACAAACGGCAAATCGGTCAGGAAAGTTATCGGTACCATAGAAGAGGCAAGAAAATTAAGGTAACCACATTAACACGAATAGAACGTGAAGAAAAACTCACATAGACTGATAGACAGCTAGAGAGAGAAAGAGAAAGTAAGATGACAGAACTATAATATTTCCCTGGGAGGTTCCCGACCCTCTCAATAGACATTTTTACTTTGAACTTTTATTATTGAACTCAGTATTCCCTAATAGGGGATTTAATTTGTGATTTTGTGATTTTTTTTTATTGTAACTTGTTTGACTTATCTGGGTGAGTGTGTATGAAGTGTGTGAATTGCGCTGATTTTTTATCCTCTGCTCAATCATTCATCTGTACGCAATGTATTTCAAGTATATTACCTTTTAATCATTTTCTTAGTGACAATGATTTTTATTGGAATGTATTCAGTTTCTTTCAATTGAATCAAAATATTAATATTGAAAGACTCCAAAATTTGAAAATAAATCCATTTGTTATGAATAAAGAACTCAAATTCAGTGAAACACCATTTTTGGATAATGATTATGATGTAACTCAACTCAAATGTGATTATATGTTTTGTGAAGATTTTGGAAAGAAATATAGCTTATGTACACCATCTTTGTCTTTAATACATATAAATGCAAGAAGTTTAAAAAAGAATTTTGATGATTTTCAGTTACTACTCAGTTCAGTGAAATTTGATTTTGATATTATTGCTGTTTCTGAGACATGGTTCCACCCAAATCTTGATCTTGATATATATTCTATGCAGGGGTATTCCTTGATACAACAATGTAGAGACAATAAAAACGGTGGGGGCGTTGCAATTTATGTTAAGCACAATATCCAGTATAAAATTCGCAATGATTTGACATGCATTACACCTGATTATGAAATTGTATCAATTGAAACAAATGAACCTTTAAAAAAACCTATTGTAATTACTTGTATTTATCGCCCTCCAAGCTCTGATATACCATGTTTTATAGAAAAGATGAACTCTGTTTTAGAATTATTGGATAGTGAACGAAAAGAAATATATATTATGGGCGACTTTAATATTGATTTATTAAATTGTGCTTCTCATGATAAAACAAATGATTTTTTAGAAAAAATGCTTTCATTTTATATGCTTCCACTAATTTCGAAACCTACTCGAGTATCTACAAAAACTGCAACACTTATTGATAACATTTTTACAAATACTTTAAATGATAATGTACATTCAGGTTTGTTATACTCCGACTTCTCTGACCATTTTCCAGTGTATTGTATTAATGTTTGTAAAAATAATAAAGATAATCAGTATAGACATCGTTCTGAATTTGCTAGTATGAAGAAAAGAAAAATTACAAAAGACGGGATATCTCGATTGAAGAATGAGTTGAAAAAAATAGATTGGTCAAATATGTATAATGTTGATAATGTGAATTATTGTTATAATGAATTTATATGTAAATTATCATTATTGTACGATGATTGTTTTCCATTGTTACCCATTTTTGAAAAGAACAAGAAGTGCAAATTCAAGCAACTATGGATGAGTAAAGGACTTTTAATATCAGTACGAAAGAAACAAAAATTACATCAACAGTTCTTGAAACAACGTAATGATAATAATAGAACTAAGTATACTATATATAAAAATAAATTAACTTCTTTATTACGAACAGCTAAGAAACAGTACTATTATAAAATGTTTGCTAAGTACGTCGCCAGAGAAAATAGAAAATAGTTTCACTTGACCTTCATTACAGCATCGAGCACTGCCTACCTAAAACAAATCAAATATCAAGTCCTAACCCTTTCATATTCGATGAAATAAAGGTGAGAGCAAATGTCGCCCGTTCAACGAGATCCCATTGAAAGATGTGTTATTTAACATACACAAACTTCAATGGCACCTCAGTGAACTTGAAATTATGTAGGTTTCATGAAACGCTGCCCTGGGCCCTGTTTCATAAAACTTGTTATCAATAAACAAATGCTGAATATCTATGCCAAATTTGCTCTCAGCCAATCAGATGCCACGATTTCAGTAGCTTTTAACGGTTACCCAACTTACTATTGATAACAAGTTTCATGAAACAGGGCCCAGATGACCATCTAGACACTTACCTAGTTCTGGCGGGTCTACCCTGTAAGTATCTTCATTTATCCGGAGAGAAAATGGATTCCTCATCAATACATCTATACTCGTTGATCTGGCCACCTTTACATCATCTGAAGATAGAGAGAAAATGAGAAGGAAAGATATTGAAAGGCATATAAATTGCACAGGGAGAAGAGAAGAGAAGAGAAGAGAAGAGAAGAGAAGAGAAAGAGAGAGAGAGAGAGAGAAACACAAATAAAGAAAAATAAATAGATACAGAGAGTGAGAGTAAAAGTAAGAGAGAGAAAGACTTCTTTCTACATGAATGCAACAATACCATTATTTACTGCTATATCAAAAATTGCAACGAAGGGTGTAATTAAAATGTATTAATTTGGTATCAAAATATGTTTTGCCCGGCCCAGCTGAATGAACAATGTATGTACTATTAAAATACATTTAAAAAAAAACATAAATCTAGGTAAGATATGAACATGTTTGTTTAGAAAAGTTGTAAAAATGTGAAGACATATATAACAAAAATAAGGTATTAAAGAACATACATGTACCATATAGCATTAACCTACATATTAAAATTAGAATGTAAAACAGTATTACCTACAATCCTACATAACAATCACATAAGACATGAACCTAATATATGTACATTCCCTTTTCAAACTTAAAAGACTCACTCATATTCAAATAAAATGTAAAAAAATGCAATGTTTACATGTAGATAACATCCAAAAAAGATATGAACATGGTAATACTCTAGAACTGAAAGAAATCACTCGTAAAAGTGTGATGCTCAGATAGCATATACATGATATTCATGTACAGGTACATGTATGTATGAATATTGATAATATTTTTAAAGAATATTACTACTCATGTCAGTATTAAGCTTATTGTAAAGATATACAGAATAAGGGGGGTTTCGGTTTTTGACATATATGTAAGATCCAGCAATTACTCTGGGGTCAATTATAAACACGAACCAAATTCCAAACTTAAACCTTGGACTATAAAACACTAAACACCTAAACCTAAGCTCCATCACAAAAAGTCTTCTAAACCTTATTCTGTATCTCTGATGAAATAAAGCCTAGAGATGTCGCCTGAGCAGATGCCTGATCACATTATTCATCAACGAGTTACCATGACCTTCGTGCCAGATGGTATTGTACTTTGGTTTGAACGTTAGAGCATTGCCAGACAGACATACTATACCATCCACGCAAATGATTACCCTATGTTAAGAATTCATCAAGTAATCTCACCGTATACATTAGAAATCAATTTGTATACATGCATGAGGCTTTATGATAATGTCTAGCCCATTGTGGTACAGTATTGCCTTATTAAAAGCATTGTTTAAAAAAAAAATCTTTTGAGCTTGAATGCTAAGAATGTCACTTGACAGGAGAAGCTGAATACAGCTTAATAAGTATCATACTTTAACAAAATCGACATTACTGACATCTTTTATTAAAGCAGAAGATTAAGAACACATAATAATGACAAGAAAAAAATTTAAGCCTTAATTAGAATCCATATATTACTGAGCGAAACTGTGTGAACATCAATGTAAATGTATGTACATCTGTAGTGGCATAACCTAGAACCATATGTAATGAAAAGTACATGAGGTGTTGTGATTTTCAGTTAATGTGATATCCAATATGAATGTGAACTTCAATTTATTTATTTTTGGTCTAAATATTAAGCAATCTCCTGTGAAAAGCAATCAAAAATATCACTGTCAGCCAGTTAGTCTTGAAATGCAATTCAATTCATACTAGAACCACAGATGTTACAGTATGTTTTATTGCAAGTCACACACCATAGAGTACATAATGGGTCTCGTCTGTAGCAACACTATGCATACTGAGTGCAAACAGGCAGAGAGTGCCCCGCTCACGTAACATACCATCATTGTAGATTGCGACGGTCTCGATCCCCCCATCTTCATTCTTGAGATGCCGGAGGAAGTCACCTACCGTCTCTGTGACCGGTTTGAGGGTAAACTGACACCTCTCTCTCCTGGAAGGGAGGGGTACCAGCAGGGTCGGGAGCCCATTCTGGTAGTCACACACTACGCCATCTGTACCAGGAAGAAGAAGAGAGAGAAAACAAGTTATTTAGGCAATCTTAACTTTCATTATAAAAACAAGAAACTGTGTTTTACAAGATTGACTGTTCAGCAAGAACTTTAAATATATACACACAATTCAAAAGATCACTCTGTACAATGTATCATGATGTTGTGCATACCGGTATACATGTACATGTATGCATGGGAGAAAGAGTCATGTGAAGTCCATATAAATATCAATAAAGACTACCCAGTATCATAATCAGGAGGAAAAAAATACATGAAATCGTATTAAAGCATACGGTACTTAATAATTTTTACTGAAATATTGTAAACCTACATACATTTGAATTAAAACAAACAAACCTGTAGATTATATTTTTAACAGCCTCCTGGTTCTTATAGGTTGCAGATGATCATATAAACATATAAACTTGTTATGTGTTTATAAACATATTTGCTTGATGCACTTTTGGGGCTTGGTGAGTATTTTTTTGTAAAAGAAAAATTATTTGAAGACATCATGAAAATAACACTTTGGTGCTCTTTCACGAGACACTTCTTCCTTTATTTTAGGCACCCTCTTTTCATGATGTGATAGAAATTAGAACATGCGTCTGGTGGCCAGTATTTCACCTGTCCAAATATTTTTCACATCACATCTCCTTGCCACAGAGAAATGAGGTGCACGTACTGACGGTGAATGATGATCAAATCCCATATGAATGTTTTGATCAACTAGGACAATGGGTAAGCATGAAATGAAAACTACATCATCGCCGTAAAACCTGTGAAGAGTGTGCCTGTAACAACAATCTTCTCTTCGACCCTGTTTACACTTTCCCTTTAGCTGTCATCAGAGAAGTGCCCCCCTCCAGCGAGATCCAATACACTTCCATGCAATAGATCATATTCTAATGATTACATTTTAAATGTCAGAATATGAAAGAAGCTTCCATTTTTCAAGACACTAAGAGATCATGTTCAAGACATGACTAGGCTCATTTTAAGGATGTATGGCAATCTAGACCTAAGAGAAAGTGATAGAATTATAAAAACAAAGAATAACATAAGAGAAAGTGACAGAAGGTAGAAACAAAGAATAACATAAGGAAAGACAGAAAGAAAAAGTGATAGAATGATTAAAACAAATAATTACATGAAATTGATGAGATATTATTGGATTTTTTTTGTGGTTATGCCCTGTTGCAAGATTCAATACCATTCCTTGAAATAGATGGTGTTCTAATAACTGGTTTATAAATGTCAGAGGATGATAGAAGTCTGTATCTTTTAAGACACCAGATCATCTTCCAGACATCAGGCCTTAAATTTCAATATTTTTAGGGCAAGGCCACTTTTCTGTAGGGCACATTCCTATATTGCAGCACAAATAGGAAGAATTGGAAAGGGCATAAAAAATCTCCAAAGGCCAATGAGAGGGGCACTGAGGCCATCAAAGGGGCATCCACGGCCATGGCCTTGGTGGCCTTGGATTAATTTAAGCCCTGAGACATGAATTAAAGTCTACTGATTATGAGGCTGTACAGCAATCTAGACCGAGGCAATTGAAGAAATATGATTGGAAATTTGTTCGTCTTGCCCTGTTGCAGGATTCAATACGCTTTTTTTGCAATATATCTTAGTTTAATGACCAGTTTTTAAATTTGTTTATTTTTTTTATAGTATTCAAATAATGAATGGTTATGAGTTCAATAGTGCGAATATTTTCATGATTTGAATAGACTTAACGTTTATCTTTCAACGAATGAAAATATTCGCACCATTGACCGAACGAAAAACATTCATTATTTGTTTTATACAACATCGAAGAAGACCTAATACTATAGAATGTTAATCAACAAATTATGCTTTACTCCTTATATTAAAGATAAATTAAAGTTGGAGTCAAGCCTTCTCGATTACATTCAGATTGCCTTCGCGTCAGATACACGCAGGGATACGCGCACGGCAGAGAGGTACGCAGTCTGCATATAACCAAAAATGCACGGCGCATATAACCAAAAATGCACGCCCATGCAATATAACATCTATTGAATATCATGTGACCAACAAACCTCCAATCAAATGACAAGGATCCACGTAGGTGTTGTATAATGGTGGTTATTTTACCTGACAGCTAAGAAAGCAAAAAATGCTTGTAAGTAAGCAACCAGAAGACCGATGGCTTTAGGTCCTCTCCGAGGGACCCGGTAATGAGGATTAATTCCTTGCACTAGCGCATCGACTTGGTTTCGAACCCGGGTCACCGAATTATGAGACCACTGCTCTACTGACTGAGCTATCGCGCCTCCACTAAATGTCACAGTGGGAAAGGAGTCTATCTTTGAGGAAACAATGATCATCTTCCGCTCATTTTAAGGACTACAGTCTACAGGCAATCTAGACCAAGGAAATTGATGATATATCATTGGAGAAATTGTCCGTCTTGCAATGTTGCAGGATTCAACACGCTTTTTTTTTGCAATAGATCTTAATCTAGAGACCAGTTTTTAAATCTCGCAGTGGGAAAGAAGTACATGTATATATCTTTATAGAGGTAACAAAGATCATGTTCTAGACATGACTTGAACTCTGCTCATATTAAAGGTAAAGACCAGTTATGGTCATGCGATTGCATTGTGAAAGAAACGTTGTGGAATCGATCAGAAACGGTTGATCATCTAGCATCTGCAAGGTTCTGGAATCATCAAAATGATAAGAAATTTGGCCAATTTTTCGTAAAGTTACAAGCACTATACACAGAAAGATGTATATGGGACTTACCTATATCTCTCACAGACCATGAGAGAAACAAATTTACCAAATAAATGAATTAGTAGGCGGTTTCCCGGCAAATTTTTTATCATCATGTATTAGTCAAAACATATTCTTTCACATGATTGGTAATGAGAGCTTTCATTTCATTTTTTGAAATTGGGGCGTTTCCAATACCGGTACTGGTCTTTACCTTTAAGGACGAACTGCAATCTCGACCGAGGAAATCGATGAAATATTATTGGAGAAATTTTTGTCTTGCCCTGTTGCAAGATTTAATACACTTTGTTTGCAATAGATCTCATTTTAATGACTAGTTTCTAAATGTCACTGTAGAAATATATATCTTTCAAGACTCAAAGATCATCTTCCAGACAAAACATGACTTGAACTCTGTTCATTTTCAAGAGTACAGGCAATCTAGACCGAGGGAATTGATGTTACATGTATATCATTTGAGAAAATCTCGTCTTGCCTTGTTACAAGATTCAATACCCTTTCTTGCAATATATCTTATTATAATAACCAGGTTATATATTTCAGAATATGAAAGAAGCCTCCATATTTCAAGACACAAAGATAATCCTTCCAGAAACCAAAATCATCCTCCAGACATGACATTGGACTCTGCTCATTTTGAGGAGTACAAGGCAATCTGGTTAGACCTGGGCAATTGATGAAATTTTATTGGAGCAACTCTCCTCTTGCCCTGTTGCGAGATTCAATATCCTTATTTGCAATAGATCTCTATACTCTAATACATGTAACAGGTTTTTAAATGTCAAAATATGAAAGAAGCCTCCTTCTTGCAAGACACAAAGATCATCTTCCAGACATGACATTGGACTCTGCTCATTATTAGTATGTACAGGCAATCTATTTAGACCTCGGCAATTGGCGAGATTTTGTTGGAGCAACTCTCATCTTACCATTGCCCTGTCGCAAGATTCAATACGCTTCCATCGCAATAGATTGTAATGAAGGGCTCCTAAATGTCAAACTGTCAGTCTCCTCTTCTCTCTCCTCCTCCTCTTTCTACCTCTCAAGACACAAGATCAATGTTCAAGATATGAAATTGGACTTTGCTCATTTCAACGATGCAATCTAGACCACCGCAATTGGAGGAAAGAGAGAGGGAGTGGCAGAATAGAAAGAGAAAGAGAGAAAGAGAGTGAGTGAGCGAGAGAGAGAGAGAGAGAGAGAGAGAGAGAGTGAGAGACAGAGAGAGAGAGAGAGAGAGAGAGAGTGTGTGTGAGAAAGAGGGAGAGAAAGAGGGAGAGAAAGAGAGCAAGAAAAAGGGAGAGACAGCAGGAGAGAAAGAAGGAGGGTAAAATGGAAAAAGGAAGAGGAAAAGGAAGAGGAAAAGGAAGAGGAAAAGGAAGAGGAAAAGGAAGAGGAAAAGATAGATGGAGAGAAAGAGGGAAAGAAAGAATAGAATGGAGAGAAAGATAGAACTCGAGGGAGGATCGACTTGCATTACCGTACTTGCCACAATTCACACAGGTGTTAATAATGCAGGTACAATACAGTACATGCAAGAAAGTGAAAATTATTGGATCGCAAGGAATCCCTCGTTGATGGAGAGGAAAAAGAGAGGGGAAGATTTTGCCGCCTTAGCTGTCATAATTCATGCTCTGGTGTTATGCACATACTGTACATGCAGATAGTCTACAGTGAAAATTATCAGATCACCATGTATCGGGCTTCGAGGGAGAGAAAATAGATAAAGGAGATGAGAGGGCAAGAGCTTGCCATCTTACACTGTAGCTGTCATAATTCACACACTGGTGATATGCACGGAAATGCAAGATCAAATTACAAGTGATGGTCCCAATGGAGACTGCGCATCTAGAATTACACAAGATTTACAATTCAAATGGGGGATGTGGGAATCCTTGGATACCGGGAATTGTTTTCTTCTATTCTACACTTTTATCATGATTTTTTCCCCCAGTAGCACTTATGAAACATGTTCATAATAAAACATTGCTACGTTGTAGAGACTTTTCAAATTCGAACAAGCATGAAATTACATTTCTCTCGGCTCAAGAAACCTGGTTAAGAGTTGGATTATGTTGACTTTAGAAAGATTTGTCTCCTTAAAAAAAAAAAAAAATGTTATGCTTGGAAGTTTTATATCTGTGTTGCCTATTGTACGATGAAGTAATGCACAGTTCTATGAACCTGGAATGTGTTTTTTTTTCCTTCTTATTACAATGAAAATGTATGAA